TAAACTGAACCCTATTTTTAGGCCAAGATACATTTAGCTGAGAAAGTTTGTTGTGAGATTAGTGCTATATAAATTCTCTACTGGACCGTGTTGCTGTATTAAGCAAGGCAGTACTTGCAGGGAGAAGCAGTCTTTCATTACACGAACTGATTACCATGCTTTCAGAGCTATAAACTGCTGCTATTGCTACATTAAACCAGCTGTTCCAGCCTGCTATTGAAATCTTTATCTGTATCTGTTCCCATGTGTCTGCATTAATCACAAGGGCAAAAACTCACAATGAAAACATTTCTATTAATTAAAGCTTTCTCATTTTCTGGAAAGAAAAGATGAGTTTTGTAATATGCTAGTTGTTCTTGTTTAATGGACCATTGTTCCTTGCCTGTGCAGATGAACTGCAAAGCTGGAGAATGACCATTAATATTCTGATACAATGATACTGTATTAGTTTAATTAACAAAACAAAAAACAAAACTTAAAAAACCCAACAAAACCAACCAACCAACCAACCAAAAACCCCCAAAACTTTAAAAAAATAAATAGTTTCTGCCAACTGCAAAGCATGTGACATGTCTTTTACTGTTAATCTTGTTTCAACTTTGGTCAGCAATACTATTTATCTGAATAGATCCTTATGATATTTTGAATATGTATACATTGTAGGGACTGCTTGGAAATATGTGAAAGTTCAAAAGGGCAAGACAGTAAGACACAGCCACATATAACCATTTATATAAGCATATAAGACCAATCTATATAGATTTAAATATTACTATACTTAAATATGGGTTTGAGCTGTTTGATTATATTATTTCTTCTATGGACCTGTTCTTACTAACTTATCCAAACTCCATGAAATCTGAGTTCAAGAACTGGATTCTTAATATTTAATTGATAGTTCCCCTTTTCACACTACCATTGCACAAAAGTGTCCTTGGCATTCTATAGCCAACTTAATACAAATCTTTTAAAATAGCAATAAGTATTGAGGGAGCAAGACTCAGAGAAGGAAATTATTTCACTGAGTACTTCAGAAACATATCCTTTCTCTCAGACTCTAACATATTCAATACTTCAAGAAAGTTCATTTTTGCAGACAGAATTATTGCAATGCCTACAAAATTTTGGCACCGAGTCTGGGAAAATAGTATAAAAGGCATTGGTAAAAAGGCGCAGCAGGTGACGATGCCACTCAAAATTCCAGTCTGGTGCACTGCTCTGTGGCAGATGCTTCTGCCTGAAGCCTTCAAGCCTGGTTGCTACATTTACAACAGTTGCAGACAAGGTAGTTGAGCCAAATACAGGAGAAGGAAGAAAATATTTAGCCCTAGGAGAAGCACTGGACTGTGGCACGAGAGTAAAACCAGGAGGCAAGCAAACAAACTACAGATATGTCTGGAAAACTAGTAACAATTGCATCTGAGTTTAATAAACAATTTTAAGAAAAAAAGGGATGTATAAGGCATCAATATCCATGAATATAAAGAGGGAGACCTCAGTTACTTGTCTTTCCTTTGCTTTATTGTCTCTTCCCTCAAAGAATACAAAATAATACACTGCACATTAGGAACCAGATAAGTGGATGTACGAAAAAAAACAGAGGTACATACATCCCCAATGGAACTTCACTGTGATTACTGGAATTGTTCCAAGGCATGAACTAGGGTCATAATTTCATCTTTATATTAAAACCCTGGAGATCAGTATAAATTGTTAGACTTAAGTTTTGGAAAATCTGCCAAAACCCTTTCTACAAGCCCATCAAATCCCACACTTGACATACTGTTTATGTTTTGGATATTAAAACATAAGCTTAGTAAGCACAAAGCATAGGTGCTTGATGTTAGTGTTGTGACTGTACTTATTACTGGAATGTTCTAAAATATTGTTATAGTAAAGGTGATACATGAACATAACAGAATAGAATATACACTACCCTGTAAGAAAAACCCCTCAGTTTTATTGCTTTATAACCACAAAATTTAGATAGTCTTAAGAATGGTAGGCCTCTTTTCCTGCCTATATTATTCTTTTGCAATCTTTTTTTGTTTTGTTTTGTTTTTCCTAAAAATTATCTGGTCATTTGCAGATCCAAAACCAGCATATGCCATTTCAAGTAATTTCACATCTGTAATTTTGTAATCATTGTAAGACCACACTGAAGACAAGCAGGAATAATGTGTTTTCTTACCTCTAGCTGGTGTCACTCATATTTTACTCTTGAAACATGGACAATGGATCTATGTCAAAAGTGAAAGATGAGAATTACTAGCTGTCCAGGGGTGTGCAAACTAAAGTTGCAGATTAAATAGCAATTTATAGGGCATAAAACCCAATGGACAATAAGTAGACAATAGGCCTGGGGAATTGTTGGAAAACACTGAACTATCGAACATGATTTCAACTACCTGCACCTTAGCTGCAGCTGCAGCAAGAAGTGAGCAGACCAGGGTGGCAAAGGTAAACACCTTTTACGTCAGAGTATGCATGAGAGGGTGCTGGCAAGTTTAGAGGAGTGGTGAGCCAAGTGTTGAGCCAAATTATGAGATAGAAGTCAATAGCAGAAAGGTTCTCTATAAATGCTCTCTACAAATAAAGTAGTTTTCCCTATCACCTATTGAAAAGCATTGTAAAACTTCATATTTCTTTATTGAAACTGTTATTTTTTAACAACAAAAAAATCCCCAACTTTTCCTGAGAGAATGAAGTTTTAGATGAATAGGAGTCTCCTTCCTTTGCAAAGGCCACAGATTCAGCTGTCAGTCAAGAAGAAAAAAGGTACCTCTCGATCTCCAGAACTGACTGAGGTTTGTAGACAGGTTTGATGGCTTCAAGGAGAAGACTGGACTTAGTTAAAGAGGCTGAAGTGGTCAGAGTTATGATGCTGAGTACTAGAAGTATAAAGTCACTTATCAGCTCTGTTGGAGACAACTGCATGGGCAGATTGACTGCAGATGTGGGGAGCTGTGGGACTGTAGCCCAACAACCATTTAGTAAGCCCGTTGTCTCTGACTAACTTCCCGGAGTTAGTTCACTGCTGCACCTGTGCCTCAGTACACTTTCACCTTGTCCTCCACCCTACAGAGACGGTTTCATAGCTGAGGCAAATCGTCTGCCTTAATCATAATAGGCTTTCCCTTGAATGGAAGTTGAATTTTTAAAAAAAGTAACTAAAATGAAAGAAAAACCTATGAATGAAACTGCAAATGTGCATTTCACTTAGGAACCTACTGAGTTTGAAAACCTGAAAACACCTAACAACTTTGTTACTGACTGCAAATAAAACAATTTCAGTTTCATTTAGGTTAGTGGAACAGTGGTGATTCATGACATTAGTCAGCCATGTACATTCCAGCAGAAATCAAACCTAGTAGCCAGAAATAATAGCAAAGTTGAGTAGCTTCATAAGATTTGAAGGATTCAATGCATTTTTGTCTCAGCTGAGAACACTATACTCTGGCTTTTCCATTCACAGGAGTTTTTTTCACAAACTTCAAACCCCTGGAAAAGATAAACTGCAAAACAGTCTGTGCTTGCATCTATAACTAAATCCACTGTGCATGTACTAGTAAGTTTCCTCAGGACTGGGTAATAGGCTTAAACTAGAGCAGCTTACAACTGACAGCATTCAAACATTGACATCCCCAATTATTCTTGTTGTTACTAGACACTAGAGGTTTTAGAAATACACAAGAAAAACTTAAGCCAGTGGAAACTCATTCAAAAGATGACCATGCTTTATTGTGCAAAGTTTGCCCTATTGTCCATGCACACCATGGACTCCAACAGCACCCTTAATGCAGGTCCTCCGTTATGGCATAATGTTGATTTATTGCAGTTGCAGAACTGCAGCAACAATTTTTACTGACATGACTTGTCTTATTGAAACTCAGAAAAATGTTTGGAAGAATTTGAAAATAATAAAAATTATGCAGGAGAAATTGCATTTTAGGCAAATGGAAAAAGCATAAAGAATCAAGAGGATAAGAAAAAGCATGAAAGAAAGCTCTGAGGTCATTGTGACATGGAACTGATATGTTCGATTTATTTTCCCAGATTTGCTTTGATATTGAATTCATTATTTCAAATACCTGAAAAACTCTAGGAAAGTCCTTTTCAAAACAGCCTGAAAAAAGGAGAGAGAGGCAGCAAAGACTGTAAAAATACAGAGTTAATTGCTAGACCCCAAGACACCATTAGAGCCCCTTTACGAGTCTGAATTAGCTTATGGGAGAGAATTAGTTTCAGGTATACTTACAGTTTGAGAACAAAATCTTACTCATTCTGCAGTGTATGCTGTTTAGCACTCTAAGAAGTGTTTGCAGTTATGCATGTCATGGAATACAACAGAATCACAGAATATGTTAAGTTTGATGGGACCCACAAGGAATATCGAGTCCAACTCTCAACCCTGCACAAGACCATCCCCAAGAGTCACACCATGTGCCTGAGAGTATTGTCCAAAACCTTCTTGAATTCTGGCAGGCTTGGTGCTGTGACCACTTCCCTGGGGAATTCCAGTACCCAAACACCCTCTGGGTGAAGAACCTTTTTCTGATATCCAGCCTAAACCTCTTCCCGACACAACTTCAGGCCATTCTTTTGGGTCCTGTCACTGGTCACCACAGAGAAGACATCAGTGTCTGCTCCTTCTCTTCTCCTCATGAGGAGGTTGTAGCCTGCATTGAGGTCTCCCCTCAGTCTACTTTTCTCCAGGTTGAACAGACCAAGTGACCTCAGCCTCATACAGCTCCTCATATGTTTTCCCCTCAAGGTCCTTCACCGTCTTTGTTGTCCTCCTCTGGATCCTCTCTGATATCTTAATATGGGAGTGCCTAAAACTTCACACAATATTTAAGGAGAGGTTGCATCAGTGCAGAGCAGAGTGGAACAATCCCCTCCCTCAACCGACTGGTAATGATGCCCTCCAGGACACAGTTGGTCTTCCTGGTTGCCAGGGCACTGCTGACTCACATTCGACTTGTGATTGACGAGGACCCCCAGGTCCCTTTCCACAGCAGCACTGCTCTTTAGCATCTCATTCCCCAGTCTGTACATACATCCAGGGTTATCCCATACCAGGTGCAGAATCTGGCACTTCCCCTTGTTGATCTTTATACAGTTGGTGATTGCCCAGCTCTCCAATTTATCAAGGTCTTTCTGCAGGGCCTCCCTAGCTTCAAGGGAGTTAACATCTCCTCTAACTTTTTTATTGTCTACAAAGTTGCTTAGTATCCCTTCCAGACCAGTGTCCAAGTTATTTATGAAGACATGGAGCTCTGTGAAACCCCACTAGTGACAGGCCACCAGCCTGATGTTACCCCATTCACTATCACCCTCTGTGCTTGACCCATGAGCCAATTGCTCACCCACAACGTGGTGTGTTTACCCAGCTGTGGGCTGCACATTTTGTTCAGAAGGAGGTCCCACTAATTTGTATAAAGAAAGGACCACTTTTAACACAGTATCCCTGTGTGAAGAAGGCTAGAGGAACACAGTGTTAACGCAAGGTTTATTCTGCAGTCAGTACAAGCCCAGTGTAAACTCAGTGAGTTTCAGTCAGAATTCCAGTATTTCTACATTTCTGTAACAATCTTCACTCTTCATTCTCTATTTTGATCACAACTGTATTTCTCAGGCTCTTTATCCATATATGCACACGCTTACACATGCAGTCTCACAGATGCTATCATATTCTAAAACTGAATAATTATTGTTTATTAGTGAGCACTAATTAATTTTGCATTCCCACTATTTTCCTTAATTTTAATTATGAAAATGGGACAGTTGATATATATCTTTCTATGAGGTTTGCTTGCGTGTTTAAGGATGCTGCTTTGAAAATTATTTTGAAGTGCATTTTACAACGGGACATTAAGGGGGTTTACGAATAGACATCTATTTTAAGATTTTATAGGTCCTATTGATGTATTAATTACTTTTGTAATTAATCTAAGAAAAATGTTTGGTGGTCTTTACATCTGTCTAGACTTAGTCCAGAATGGAGAACAAAGAGACTCTTGTAAAATTAAAACTTTATGTCTGATTATTTTTCTATGGGTTTTTTTTGGTAAATAAATTTAAAAATGCTTTGTGTAGGCAATCACAGAATCACAGAATCGACTCCTGTTTTTCATTCGTAATGATGATTTTAAAATTGAGAGGAAGTGAAATAAAATAAAATAAAAGGAAGAGTTTTCTTTTGGACAGGATTAGAGTCCTCATTTTGAAAAAGATTTTTAATTATTTCAGCAGAAAATTAAGAAATTTTATATATGCATATATCTGTTCGTTATGCTAATACTCGTTCCATAAACAGGTTCTACCAAAAATCAAGATAAATTGTAGTGGTTTGGAAAAATTTTCCGTTAGGAAATAATAAAAATTTTGCAAATAAACAAAGAAAGCTATGTCAAAACTACAAACTCCTTGAATCTGAATTTTGCAGAAGCAACAGGATACTTGAAAACCTCAACTTGCTTTGTCCCAGTTATTTACCAATGCACCGGTTTATTTTACTTTGAAAATTAGTCTTCTTACTTTATTCTTCTTTGGTGGTGTGCTATTGGCTTTTCTAGACCATCAAACCATACCTTGTTCCTGGTAGTTCTTGTTTAGGATAATTTTTGTCTGTAAAGTAGAAAAATATTGCTGTTCACTTCCTGAGCTTTTATTTTTTGGCTGGAGGCGCAGATGACAGTGATTTTTTTAATGCTGTTCCTGAGTTTTGACAAGTTAAACCAAGTAAGAGAGTTTTGTTTAATTTGTATAAGTGACTATCAATAACACAGTTACACAGATATTATTTTAAAACCAACCTATACTAACTGTAATTTGAAGTAACCTACTGCTACTTCAATGTCATTGCATTGTACCCTAATATAGCACCTTCTAATTTATGACTACTGTGTTAGTGTAACAACCATTAACTTAATAAAGTATGAATTTTTCAATCCCTCATATTTGTGCCATATCATCAGCAGATGCTATTATCACTGTTGGCTCTTTGCCAAGTATTAATGTTTTGTTAATGCATAAGGCAAAAGAGGCTGGAATACAATATTTTTGTATTAGAAAAATAGCACTGACATCTTACACCAGCAGAAAGACTGGGCTCAGAATGCCTTGTATTATAATTTTTGGGATCACATTTATTTATTCTGTTGAGAATATGGTCCAAATCAAGCACTGCTGCAACTTGTAGAACACATTATTTTAGAGAATAATTGTATACCTCTATCTCTTAGTAATTTTAAAAGGTGTTTGATTTGTGATTATTATGTAAACAAAACCCACATGTAAAGAACATTTAAGCACATGTTTAACTTTTAGCAGATCTGTCCCATTTATTTTTCCCAGGAATGAAAACTTATGCTTAAAATTTCTATTGAATCTGACAATAGCTAAAATAGATTAAGGTCTAATTGTTATGCAAGAATTTGAAACTGCTTTTCCCTAGAGAAATTTTTGTTTAATTGACATCCAGTTTCAAGACATATCTATCTGAATGATTCTTTTGCACTTTGAGTTGTTGCTTGTTTGTTTTGTTTTTTTTTCTGTTACTCTATGGGGAGTTTCTGAGATATGGAGACATGGAGAATGGGAATTTATCCTGACCCAGTAATTGCATACAGATATTCTCTTCAACAAGATCAGTCAAAGAGGAGAAAAGTAACATGAGAGTAGGAAAACCATACCAATATCAAGTATAGGATTATTACACAGAACCTTAATTATTGGCATGCACAGCTAGACTTTTGTCATGGTTTGAGAGCCCCAAAATCCAATTCCGTAGTCCAAGCTCCCTCCCACATCTCAGCCCAGTGTGAGGTGGGTTTTCCAGACACCACACAAGACTCAAAATGGAGGGAAGGGAATATATTACAATGACTGTACGAAGAAATACTACAATACATTATATACAATATTACTATCTCTACCATGACATAAAAGTATTTCCTTGTACTTCAGAGTTGATGGATGCAACAGGAGAATGCTTACCTACTTGGGTTGTAGGCTATGCAGTCAAATGACTTTACAAAGAAGGGAAGAGACTGCAAACATCCAAGAAAGCAAGTGTTTCTGAGTGTATAACAACTGTTCACATCTGAAAGTTACATCAAGGTCAATGTGAAAAGGTGACCAAAACAACAAAAGAAAGAAAAGTTTAAAAAAAAAAAAAAAAAAAAAAGGAAGAGAAAGAATCTCAGAATGGCCTGGGTTAGAAAGGACCTTCAAGTCATCCAGTTCCAACCCCCTTCGGTTGGTGGGCAGAGACACCTTTCACTATACTAGGTTGCTCAGAGTTCTATCCAAACTAACCCAAAATACCTCCAGGGATGAGGCATCCACAGCTTCTCTCAGTCTGTGCCAGTTCCTCACCACTCCTACAGTAAAGAGTTCTTTTTTTATAATATATAATCTACAACTGTCCTCTTTCCGTTTGAAGCCATTCTGCCTTGTCCTGTCACTACATGCCACTGTAAATACTCTCTATTTTTGTTGTAGGCTTTCAAACTTTCTGAAAATTTTAGACTATTTTAGCACTTAAATTATTTCTTCTACACCTATTTATCCTAGAAGAGAGACATTACTGCTTTGGCCCTTGATTTCAAATTTCTTCAAAAGTATTCACATTGGCAAGTGTATTCAGATATGTTACCTTTTAATCATCTCAGAGTCTTTTTACACATGTACATTGAGTGACGTCTCTTCACTTATTACCCCAAATAAATCTGAACATTCGGTGAAACTGAGGTGCTAGAGGATTTAATGATTTGGTACTGCAGATATTTTAGCAAGTGTCACTCAGGTAACATAGACTTTTCATATGGGTGCACTACCATAGAACAGTAGGAAATATCTGTAAGCCAACTATTACTCTCCAGGGTGAGAGATGATAAATCAAATCCTCTAAAAGTGGAAGTCCATGATGTTTCTCTCATGACAGGAGAGGTGGTTTCCCAGATTAAGGCTGTTACTTGTCATCCTTGCCATTTGACCTATTTGCCATTCAAATTGTCAAGCTGGAAGCATGGTCACTGTTTTAGAGTTCCAGACACTGCTCAGACTCTCACCTTTTGGGACATGAGTGTTTTGGTCCTGGTCTTTAAACTCAGGAGTTCACAACCAGGGTCTTATTTTTTTTCAGAGATAAATCAGTGATTTTGGAGCTGCTGCCAATTACTTCCTTAATCTCCTTAACACCCCCTGGGCTTCACTCTGAGGCTTGCACCATAGTATCTGAGTTATTCTTTGTTACCCTAGGAATTTCTAAAAATGTCAAAAGAGAAAGCAATACCTTAGTGACATGTTGTGACCTGGAGTTTGTTGAGAACTAGGGTATCAGAGTCTTATGTGTGATTGTCTTCTGCAATTTGTGAAGAGAGCAATCTCTCAACCAAGCGTATGTCAATATACCAAAAACCAAATTACATGAACTACAAGGAACAACATAATAAACATTTTGATGCAGAATGCCTTCTCTCTACTTAAATGTGGGACTGAAAAAAATCACAATAAATTTTATAAGCTGAAAACCCTAAAATTCTTCCTGCTTAATCAAACCTAGTATAGATGAGCAAATTGATGAGCAAATTGACAGGAAATTCTTAGAATATTTTGTGCTTTTACTTATTCAGACTGAAGTAATCCTGGTATAAGCCTAATTTTTTAAAATAAAGTACTTAAGCAAATACAAAAAATGTTTTCAATCATAGAATCATAGAGTGGTTTGGGCTGGAAAGGACCTTACAAATCATCTAGTTTCAATCCCCTGTCATAGGCAGGGACACCTTGCAGTAGATCATCTCGCTTAAAGCTTCATCCAACTTGTCCTTGAACACTTCCAGGGGTGGGATATCCACAACACTTCTCTGGGCAACTTGTTTCAGTGCCTCACCACCCTCATGGTCAAGAATTTCTTCCTAATATGTGTTCTCAGACTACTCTCTTACAGCTTAGAGCCATCGCCCCTTGTCCTATCACTACTCGTCCTTGTGAAAGTCCCTCTCCAGCTCTCTTGCAGTCCTCTTTAAGTATTAGAACATA